TTAATTATTTACTTAAGGTTAAAATGTATGTATATACCCCATTCTTTACCAATGTTCGGATATACGCTCATTTATATGTATGGGTATGTATATAGATAAATGGCTCTCACGTATGTGATCCTGGCATGTTAGTTTTAGCTCAATGGATGTTATTCTATGTTACTTTGTAATATTAAATGCTTCCGTTCAGGCCCCATATATTATGTATATCAGGTTATGTGTCCGTATCTGCATTGGTCATGCCCGAACTTTTAAGGGCAAGTTTGGGTTGTGACAAGAGTCATTCTACTTTCCCGTCTAAAAACATTAGTCACAACCAAATTGCCTTCTTCATGAATGGTTGGCAAAACTGTTGCTCGCGGCCTACGCCATCCTGTTCTATTTCTTCTTGGGATTGCATCGAAAAAGTTTAACATCCATCCTAACAGTTAAAATTATAAATAATAAATTAATTGAATATTAATGTCAAATTTAGAAGTGTAAAAGCTTACAAAAATAATAATGTTTATAACATTTGAATACACCTACTTGTTTGTGCATTTGTCATATTATGTACTTGATCTTGATGAGAAGTTTGTTCGAGATTTTCAGATATTTACCTTCTTTGTCGATAATTTGTTCGTCGCCTTGCTAGTTGTTGTTCGCACTGTTCAGTAGTCAAAGCAGCCCTCTTTTGTCTGGCATAATTACGCCAACTTTCCCTTTGAATTTCTCTTTGTTGCACATTAGAGCTCGCACTTTGTTTGCGAATAAACAATCTTCGCCTGCGCTGAGCAAGACGACATTGCTCCAATCTTGCTCAGCGTTGTTCAGTGCTTAAGTTTCGAAGGCATAAATGTTCGAATTCTCTTTGTGGTTGTTCGGTTTAAGCATTTGGTTCCAAAGCTAAGCGTTGCCTTCTCTGTTATAGGTATAAACAACGTCGTTCATGATTTTGTTGTTGTACATGTCTCAAATTTGATACGTCAGGGTAATCTTGATTCATTTTTCCTAAGATTGTTAGCAAACTAACACTTACGTAGATGAAATACGGATATCTTTAAAATGTGCCTACATTATATAAAATTATGTAAGAGGCAATAATAATATATTATGAGATTGTTAACTACAGCGCGACTCGTGTACTCACAATATAATAAGCTTTATATTTTTATGTAAGTGTTTTCATATGTTTGTTTTTATATTTTTATAATGCATATTATTTTAAGTACTAATCTCATTTTGTGGAGAATTAAATAAAATTGCAAGTGAAAGAGGTTACCTGGTAATGATGAGCCAAAGCGTTTGCAACTTGAGATATAATTTGAAAATAAACTAAATATAAATTTTTCAAACATTCGATTAAATATATAAAAAAAATAGAATTAAAAATACTTATAGTCAAAAGAAAAGTAGAAAATAAGTACTAATAAAACACGCCCATAGAAGTTAGTTGTTATGATTATCACAAACTCATTACATAATAAATATAAAAAAATCATATGAAATTTTGGGACCACTGAATTCTTTCTTACCAAAAAAATACACTTCAAAACAAATATATGAATAAACAAAGGGTTTTTTTACAATAGTTACAATAAAAAAGATTAGATATAAACGAAAGAAAATAAGAAAAAACTTTAAAAAAATCCAAAAACAAAAAAAAACAAAAACAAAAACTTTCAAAAAACACCTGATAAGACAACGAAACATTTCATTTTCTATATATATATATTTTTTTTTATAGAAAGTATAATTAACAATATTACAGGGAAAAAAATATAACACAAAATAATGTATGGTTTAGGTGTTCATATTTTGGTTTCTCAAGTTTCAAGCATAAATCCAACACTCATGTAAAATACTTACGCTCAAAGTAGATAAGTGTAGACACCTTGGTTGGAAGTATACAATAATCAACTATCACTTTATTTGAATTTTGGCCATCCATGGATGTGTTAAAATTTCATGAGATTTGGACAAACTTTGTGTAATTTTAACTAAAAAATTATACAACGAAAATTCATATAAATAAATAAAAAATTACATATAAATAAAAATAGAATTAAAAAATTACATATTTGATTTTTTCAAGGATATATATAAAAATTAAAAAAATTACATATTTAATTTTTTCAAGCATAGAAAAAGAAATTATATATTTGAAGCATTACAAACTCAAGCATTACAAATTGAAGCAATAGAATTCTTTTACAATTATTCAAGTTTCAAGCATTACAAACTCAACATTCATATAGAATACTTACAGTCAAAGCAATTAGGTGTCGATGGAGAATAATCCGAAAAGTTTATTCTTAACAAACAAAGTTATAAAGCAACCTGCAAAAAATATAAACGAAGGAAAATAATAGTCAGTTTTTTTCTCCAAGAAATCGATTAACATACTTTTTTTTCTTTTACTTTTTAATGAATAAAATAAAAAGTGTAAGTAATAATGGTACACACAAAATAACAAAACAGGTACCCATATTATTGGAACACTTGCAATAAGAAAGATTTGATATACAACAAATAAATAATAAATCCCAAAAAAAAAAGACTAATATTTTTTAATTTTTGTTGAAATAAAACAAAATTTATGAACATTGAATTGTTTTTAAGAAAAACACACACACACACACACACAAAATTAAGCAATCAAACAACTTAATTTTTTGCAAACATAAATTGTAAACACACAAACACAAATGTTGATATAAACCAAGAAAAATAATAGTCAATATTTTTTTTTTAGACCTGATAACACAATGAAACATTTCATTTTCTATAAATTTTGTATAGAAAGTATGATTACACCCAATGTGTACAAAAGCTTATTAATTAAGTCTAAAAAATTGCGGACATTTGTGATATACAAAATCTTTTTATATAATACACCTGATATTTTCTTAGTTGGTGATTCAAATTATTATTATTATTATTATTTTGTCTATAGTTTGATATTCAATTCTAAATTTAATACATACAGTGCTTTACATATTTGATTTTTTCAAACATAGAAAAAGAAATCATATATTTGAAATATTACAAACTGAAGAAGCTCAGTTTCATGCTGAAATCCATTAAGATTCACTTATCAATCAATTACAGAAGACCAAATTGAATCTAAACGACCCAAAAAAATTGAAAGCAGAATGATCGTACGCTTGATCTATAGGAATTTTGAAAAACTGTCCTATTAACAAAAAAAAGTCTAGTAGATAAATACATCGCATTTGATTTATGAAGAAATCATATAATACAAACTCAAGGTAGTAATTATGGATGGCAGGATCCACTCGGAGACAACTGCCCACATAGCCCAAGAGAAATCTATCTCAAAAAATGCGTTTATGATCCAGACTATAACAAACATTTTCTTAAGACTCTGTTTATAAGAAAACACACTGCAAAATACTTATGCAAGTATAAGGAATAGTGATAATCACCATAAATGTAGAAAATGATATGAGCATACAACCATTGTTGACAAACCAGAATAGCAAAAAAAAAAGAGAGAAAGAAAGAAAGGGGGCAAATAACAGTGCATCCGGGGTTAGAAACATTCTACAAAATTGAATAGAAGCACTATTTTAAGTACATATGTCTTTCATTGCTTACCTTCCTTTTGTGTGATGCAGTAATTGGAAAGCATTGTCAGGAAATATACCTGTAAAAGTTTAAAAAAACATGCAAAATACAGTGAAGATACAGTGTAGTTTTAGAACTTTTGTTACTGCTTTAGACGTGGAAAATAGGAAGTGGGAAGTGGAATTGGTGTTTTAATTTATCATTTTATCACTAATTAAAACTGAGGCAAGTGTAAGAAGTTAAGGTCATTTTAGGAAAAAATGAGAAAAATTTTTTAAGAGTGGCTTCATGTCGGGAGCTTCTATTTACACACACCCATTCCCCTCTTTACACATCTTTTTTAATAAATAATTGGTTCGGAAGTAGATTTCCGAAAATGAGCAATTGGTTCGGAAGTAGCTTTCCGAAAATAAACAATTGGTTCGGAAGTAGACTTCCGAATTTTTATTATTTTTTTGACATTCAACTTCCGAATGTGTTTATTTGATGTCTATAATAGTAATTTCACTTGAAAAAATATTTATAATAAAAATAATTTTTATAAAGTGTGTGCAAAGAGTGGAAGGTGGATGTGTAAATAGAAGCTCCCCTTCATGTCACCAAAATTGTTGTTTCCTTTTAATAATAGAATACATGTTACAAATTTTAATATCATTTTTATATATGAATAACAACTACAGTAAATCAAAAGTTAATTTTTTTTTTGAAAAGTAAATCAAAAGTTAATTTATAAATGACTACACTAAATCATTGATCAAACTGGATACAATGATGACCTATTTTGAAAAGTAAGTCAAAAGTTAATTTTTTTTTTTTTACACGTATAAAAAAAGTAAAAATTGATATGATTAAAAAAATTAAAAAATTAATTTTTAACTTAATTGTCAAAAGAGGCCGATATAAGAATGATTAAGGTGGTGACAATATAAGAAATTGTAGTGATGAAATATGAAAAATATTACATCAGTTATAATAAAAAAATAACTTTATAAGTATATGTGAATAATTAAAATTGTAAATTCTTTCATGAACATGTAATTTTTTATTTTATTTTTTTAATTCAACTAGAATGTAGGTACCCCCAAAAATTAAGATAATTTTATATTTTCTTATTAATCCTGTTAACCAACAAACACACTAGATCATTGTAATTTTTGAAAGTGAGGGGATAATTTTTATTTGACAGAAAATTCATGAGAGGTCCTTGTAATTTATTTATAAATAAAATAGGGGAAAATTGGTAAGAAGAAAAAAAAATTAAAAAAAAACTTGTGATTGATGTTACTTCGAACAAAGGATAAACAAAGAGCGTCCACCCAAACCACCACCTCAGCGCGCGAACCAGCCCTCGCAATTCCATTGCCCTGCACTGCACTGCACATCACCCGAGGGTTTTTTTGGAAGTAGAGAAGAGAGAGAGAGAGAGAGAGATGCTTAGCAGAGTAGGAACAGTAGCAGTAACGGTCTCTGCATCTCTCTTTAATCCCCCTCATAATTCCTCTCAATTTCTGTGCGTGCTCAACAGCAAGAAGAGTAGTAGTATCAGCAAATCCTTGGTTTCAAACCCTTTGTATGGCTTCCTGAAGAAGAAGAAGAAGAAGAAGAGGAATTTTAATACTTGCAGAATGGAGTCCTCTTCGAATTTCGTTGCCCGTGCCTCCGCCCAACCACTCAAGAATGCTGACCAACTCATCGATTCCGTCGAGACTTTTATCTTCGATTGCGATGGTATATATGCATGCTTCCTAATACCTTTATTGTTGCTTTTGCCATATACTCTCTATTCTGCATTGTGTATCTGTCACTGTGTCTCTATTCTGCTGAATGCTCTTTCCACACGGAGCTCTGTGATTTGTGGTCTTCCAAACATAGTTTTTGAATGGACAACTATTGATTAATAATACTTATTTAATTTTATACACTTCTCTGTGTAGTTGTTATCTACTCGATGAAATACTCACCATAAGATAGTAAATAGTAGGGTACTAAGGTCAAGACATTGTTATTGTTCACTATTCTAATTAGTCTTATTGTTCAAGTGTTTTACGGTAAGAATTATATACCGTATACAATAGTTATATGCAATGGCTGAGACGATTTTGAAGCATTGAAATGCAAAAGTGGCATAAAAAATGTAACGTTAAGAACTTGAACGGTGACAATTAATAGTATTGTGAAATTTGTACTAAAAATTCACAAACACAAGAAATTAGATTTTTTTTGTCCTTGTTTTTTTTTTTTGGTTGGGGAGGTGTTTGGTAAGATCGTTCTACATCTTTATATATGTCTCTTGAGAAGAGATTATCTAGTTTCTGTTTATATTTTACAGGAGTTATATGGAAAGGGGATAAACTGATAGATGGGGTCCCTGAAACTCTTGATATGCTTCGGACAAAGGTTTGTATTCTTTTTATCAACTTGTACATGTCAAGCCAATGAACATTGTATTTTAATGGCTTTAATTTCTGTTACCTCTTTTTATTGATTTAGTTTTGAGATGATGATAATAAATCTAATGAAGCTATATTTTTCTCTATATGACCGTTGAAAATTTTACTATAAATGCATTGCTTTGTGGTGCTGAGCCAATTTTTAGTTTCTTTCTTCTTCAGGGATAGAGAGTAGTCTTTGTTACCAACAACCCTAGGAAACAGTATGGGAAAAAGTTTGAAACACTTGGTCTTAATGTCTGTGAGGTTAGTTCAAGGTTCTTGCTTTCTAAATTCTCAGACAGTATGCATCAATATAATCTATTAACAATCGAATGTTTCAGGAAGAAATTTTTGCGTCATCTTTTGCTGCTGCAGCATATTTGAAGTCCATTGACGTCTGAAAGATAAAAAGGTATGCAAAATAGAAATTCATATTTCCTAACTAAGTGATGAGTAGAAAGTTGAAATCTAATTTCTGTCCAATGGAAATGATTTTCTATCATCAGCTATCCATATATATTCCAAAAGCAGATATTATAGTGTTGATTACACGGACAGATTTCTTTTTACGCGTAGTCATGTTTCTAGATGTACCTTACCCTCTAAATTTTGTAAAAGGGTGGAGGCAAATATGTTTTTGCATGTGTACCTATCTATTAGATATTAATTAAGTTTCTATTACTCTAATAGATTTGCCACTGTCTTGAAAAAATACAGCAATAACTACTTAGTAACTACCCATTTCTTCCATCTTCATTCTTGTCTTGCCATGTGTCCTTCCACTCATCCACTTTGTCCTCCCACTCATCCACTTTGTCCTTCATATTCTCCATTATCTCTATAACTTCTTTTAACTTCCAAATGAATAAGAGGATGCCACGTGTCCTGCAATTATATAAATAATAAATAATAATAAAAATTGCAGATTTATGGTGCTAACAGTCTTATTGTTCAAGTGTTTTACGATAAGAATTATATACCATATACAGTAGTTATATGCAGTGGCTGAGACGATTTTGAAGCATTGAAATGCAAAAGTGGCATAAAAAATGTAATGTTAAGAACTTGAATGGTGACAATTAATAATATTGTGAAATTTGTACTAAAAATTCACAAACACAAGAAATTAGATTTTTTTTGTCCTTGTTTTTTTTTTTTGGTTGGGGAGGTGTTTGGTAATATCGTTCTACATCTTTATATATGTCTCTTGAGAAGAGATTATCTAGTTTCTGTTTATATTTTACAGGAGTTATATGGAAAGGGGATAAACTGATAGATGGGGTCCCTGAAACTCTTGATATGCTTCGGACAAAGGTTTGTATTCTTTTTATCAACTTGTACATGTCAAGCCAATGAACATTGTATTTTAATGGCTTTAATTTCTGTTACCTCTTTTTATTGATTTAGTTTTGAGATGATGATAATAAATCTAATGAAGCTATATTTTTCTCTATATGACCGTTGAAAATTTTACTATAAATGCATTGCTTTGTGGTGCTGAGCCAATTTTTAGTTTCTTTCTTCTTCAGGGATAGATAGTCTTTGTTACCAACAACTCCACTAAGTCCAGGAAACAGTATGGGAAAAAGTTTGAAACACTTGGTCTTAATGTCTGTGAGGTTAGTTCAAGGTTCTTGCTTTCTAAATTCTCAGACAGTACGCATCAATATAATCTATTAACAATCAAATGTTTCAGGAAGAAATTTTTGCATCATCTTTTGCTGCTGCAGCATATTTGAAGTCCATTGACTTCCCGAAAGATAAAAAGGTATGCAAAATAGAAATTCATATTTCCCAACCAAGTGATGAGTAGAAAGTTGAAATCTAATTTCTGTCCAATGGAAATGATTTTCTATCATCAGCTATCGATATATATTCCAAAAGCAGATATTATAGTGTTGATTACATGGACAGATTTCTTTTTACGCGTAGTCATGTTTCTAGATGTACCTTACCCGCTAAATTTTGTAAAAGGGTGGAGGCAAATATGTTTTTGCATGTGTACCTATCTATTAGATATTAATTAAGTTTCTACTACTCTAATAGATTTGCCAATGTCTTTAGTTTCATAGTGATTAAATCCAGCATGCCCACCATAGAAGGCTGGATAGCCATGACCTTTTGGCTAGGGTTAAAAATGATTTTCTCATTTTGATGTCACTAAAACGGCATTGTTTCTTGGTTTCCTTAGCTTTGATATCCTGGTTTTTTCCATAGTAATATACTTCATATATTAACACGTAACCTCTTTGTGAAATATATATTGATTCTATATAAATAGTGGTCAAGCATTTTTTATGCAATTTTCTGTTTCTGTAATAATTTAAGTCATATCATGTAGATGTAAAATGTCTAATCTTTTTGCTTCGTGTTTTTCAAGGTTTATGTGATTGGTGAGGATGGCATCTTGAAGGAGCTTGAGCTTGCTGGTTTTCAGTACCTTGGTGGGCCAGTATGTATAAATTTCAACATAGTTCCCTGCACTGCTCGATGAACTCTGAAATCTGCAGCATTTGCATAAATTTGCTTGAATATGATGTATTCTTCTGCCTGAGAGAGAAAAACATTGGCAAAAACAAAATTTTACTCATAGTCTCACCAACGACGTGTCTTGTTTTTTTTGGTTTCTTACTGTGGTCAGGCTTAAATCTGGCTCGCCAAATTTTTCCTTCCTATAAAGATCTAAGCAGCTTCTGCTGAAGACATTGACAAGTCTGATTCCAAAATCATTTTGTTTCTCTTTAATTTGATAGTCTGAATATCAATGGCCCTATACATTTTTGTGGGACAACAGCATGGTCAAATTGAATGCGAAGACCCCCTAGCATACTAGTCAAACTGAAAGGAGCACTAAGGAGTATGTAGTCACTAGACAGCCTTATCCCCACTTTCTTTCTTAATAATGGACAAAAATGGGTGGTGACTATGCCTTTCCCTGCTGTGCAATATTTATTGGAAAATCCTCCTCCCTCCCTCCTAACATCTAGTATACAGTGTAAGGTAATGGTAATGCCGTTAGACTTGGACATTTATGTCACATATGCCAAAAGTTGTTCTTTATTTTATTTTTAGTTATAATATTTTACATTCTGTTGTTTAGGAGCCAGAATGGGAAATGCCATGTGACTTCATATTATGTCTTGCTATTTATAGAGACTTCATGAATACCGGGTTCTTATGTGTTATTTTTTACAGGAAGATGGTGGGAAAAAGATTGAGCTAAAGCCTGGATTCTTGATGGAGCATGATCATAATGTACACTTCAATTCTCATAACTGATCATTTTTTTATATTTCAGCTTCAGTCTCTGACTTAGGGAATATCTAAACTGTTCCTGTCACTGGTATCTAAATTTTGTCCTTACTTCAAAATTATAATGTAAATTACAAAATAGATTACAGTTAAAGGGTGTAGTTTTAATTCTGGAGAAAGGAAGTGGATGGAAACAGTTACATGCCCACTCCGTCTCTTCTTATCTTTCTCCTTTCTCCACTGATCATTCATTTTTCTCTCTCTCTCTCTCTCAAACATCCATGCAGAGCTATGGTAAACATCTATCAGTACTCCATTCATTATAGTTCCAACTTCTGACCATACTCAAAGATTTTGTTCATTACCTTCTAGGTTGGAGCTGTTGTGGTTGGATTTGATCGTTACTTCAACTACTATAAAGTTCAGTAAGTTCTCTTTTTCTCTTGCACTGATGTTATCTTTCATAAGAAATTCTTGTACATACTATCTGTGGTGGTAACTGTATCATTACCAACTACAATAATGAGACTATCATGGGAAAACAAATAATTTTGTTAGAAATCTTTACCAAAGCTATAGACAAAGATGGCATGCATTGATCTGAAAATCACTTATTAACTGCACACCAGGGAACAATGATTTGGCTCTGTGTGACAATCCTTCACTGTTTTTGCGGCGTCCTAGTTGTAAAGAGGGCAAAACTTCTTCTTTTTTTTTTTTGTTGTCAGATGTCAAGTTCTTTGATTATATGCCATATGTGTAGCATTTATTTTATTCAATATTTGTTTTGGTGGTCTTAACCAGACATTCTAAATTTTCTTTGCATAAGATACATAAGTTTTGTTTATACTATTTAAATAGTTTTGTTGCTAATAATGCTTAGTGAAACAAATTAATGCTATTATTGGAATATTCTGGCACCTTAACACAGACCTATGTTTTATTTTCACCATTAAACCTATTTGCTGTACTTTAACATGTGTATAATTTCTGGTCTTTATTGATGTCTTAAACTATCTATTTGTGTCACATAATGGAAGGTATGGTACACTATGCATACGCGAAAATCCAGGGTGTCTATTCATAGCTACGAATCGTGATGCTGTCACTCATCTTACAGATGCTCAAGAATGGGCAGGTTCACTTCTCGTCTCCTTTACAATTTGCATCATTTCTTAAATTCAAGTTTCACTTTTTTGAAATGACTGGTACATTTTTTATTTATTCACATCATATAGTTCAAACACGCCCTTTTCACATTCTTCCTGAGCATTGAAGGTTCCAAGGATGTCCTAATTGCTAAGTCACAGAAAGGCAAGCACATAATACTGGTGAAATATGTTGTCGGACTAAATCAATTCACTGATTATTATGTTGGTCCTGAAAAAAAGGAATTGGTATGTTGGTCAGAATTTTATGCTTTTCGAACATAACGGCATTTGTTATGTGGTGCTTGTCATTCTTCTCCTCTTCACATGTTCTCTTTCTATCTAATGTCTTGGTGAATGGTCACTGGAATTATGACCGGCTATATCTGTGGAACAAAAGTCATTGGTTAAGATATGCCTTTCGACCATTATGCTAAAAGGTTCTCAGGAATTTGCATTATGTGTGTGTTTGAAGATGATTGTAAAGATTATGAGGGTCATTGCTGAGCTTGCTTTGTCAGGATTATGGTAGGAATTTTATTCCATTGTGATAAACGGCACTCAGGAATTTGCAGTGTTCAATAATATGTTTGAAGATGATTGTTGAGGTTGAGGCATTATTGAGTTCGCTTTGTCAAAATTATGGCAATAGAATCTAATGAATTTTTTTGGCTTCAGGTGGTGGTTCTATGGTTGGTGCACTCTGTGGATCTACTCAACGAGAACCACTGGTTGTAGGAAAGCCTTCAACTTTTATGATGGACTACTTAGCAAACAAGTATGATGCCCAAGTACCTCTCATTCTTATCTACTTTTGAACTCTACTGTTAGTTAACGTAATATTTTTTACTACAGATTTGGCATTCAAAAGTCACAGATATGCATGGTTGGTGATAGATTGGATACAGATATTCTTTTTGGACAAAATGGTGGTTGCAAAACCCTTCTTGTTCTCTCAGGTCACCGCTGAATATATTTCTCCTCCACCTTTCAATTTCCCATGATTTGTGTTATCTAACAGAGGTTTCTCTTTTCTCTATGATAGGTGTGACTTCTTTGTCAATGCTTCAAAATCCTAACAATTCCATTCAGCCAGACTTCTACACCAACAAGATTTCAGATTTTCTCTCTCTTAAAGCTGCTACTGTCTAAGGACACGGCATCACGATTTTGCATGTATCCCATTACCCTAAGTGAACAGAAATGCAATTCTGATGTCTAATTGTTTTCTCTGCTATTTAAGAAATTAGCTCTAGGAGGTCATATAAAGTGATATGATTCAAGTCTGCTGTAATGGGTTAAACACACAAGAAAAAAAAATCTGGTGGCCATGATATGTTGGACATTTTTATACCTTGACTTCTTGTTTAGTTGCTGAGAAGATGTAAGTATTGAAATGTGAAATTACACAAGTATTTGTGTGGAATTTTGTTTCTTTTCACGTCTTGTCAGCTAGCTGATGGCATGTTAATGGGATCTTTGCTTTATATAAACTAACGATAGGTAGTAATTTTACATTAAATTTTTTTATATTGATGTGCAATTTTGAAATATTTTATAATTGAGTGAAACCGTTTAATAATTGTTGGATGTGACAATTAGGGCATTCTTGGGGGGAAAAAAGGGGTAAATTATACCAGTTGTCTCAATATTTTATTCCTTATATCGTTTGGTTCTTACACTTTCAATTGATTTAATTTTTACCCTTAATTTTAAAATTTGTTTCAATTTGATTCAATTAATAATATCGTTAATGTTTTTTAAGGAAAATTATTACTAAATTGGTTGAGATTAACTAACTAGGTTGAGTAAATTTATAATTTTATCCTTAAAAATATGGAATGTGATACTTATATGTGTATTTTTCATTAAACAAAAATGTTAAGAGTAGTAATCAATTTTCAAATTGAGTCAAATTATAAATTTATGATCAAAATTAAGCCAATAAAAAGTATAATGGGCTAAAATAACGTAAGGGATGAAATATAGGGATTACCGTTAATTTGTCTTAAAAAAAATTAAAGTAACAACATTCACGGTAAATGAATTATATATTTTATGTAATAAAATATATATTCATGTAAGATATGTCCATGATTAGTGTTTTCATATTGAATTTATGAATATAAATACATTTTTTATTTTATTTTTCTTTTGTGTTTGCAAATCCAATATTCCAAAACAAGCCTGAAATGAGCAGAGTGAATCTGTTTGCCATTCAGTTGTATCTAAAATTATATCTCAATTGAATTCAGGCAAATTGGAAGGAAATGAGATACAAATAAAATTTGGAGTCAAAATATTATCAACTATGAATTGAAAGAAAGGACACTTGATATGCTGATTTTTTACAAAGAAGTTAAAGATACGTTTTGGATAACGATAATTACAGCATAATGGTAAATAAATAAATTATTTAAGTGAAATTTTATTTTATTTTAATTATAGTATATGTTCAAAAAGAAAAATAAGTACAAAATGGTGAAATTTATAGGAAATTTTATTTTCACACACCTAATTATTTCAGTGCACATATTTTCTCAATACAAACACTTAATAATTTGATTATTAATTTTTGTTCTCATCCCACACATCAATTATTCTAATCATATCCTTAACTTATATATTATACACACACTACCTCAACCCTTTTTCCACACACCTATTCAAAATTGAAGCTTAGCGATCTGCCCTATTTTCGGTTCACAATGAAGATAGTTAAGGAAACTCCATCAAAAAGACTAAAGACTTGAGAACCTCCATTGACACTAACTCCATTGAAGACGCTCCTTTTTCATTCGACACTCTAGTTCCGAAATCTATTGAAGACAACTATTACTTTGTTTCAATTTCGTTATCACATTTTGTAACAACCACCTTCTTAATTAATTGCTAATTTTGTGGTTTGCCTTGATTATGTGTTTATATGTTACTTATGTGTCATGTGTTATTTGAATTGTGTTATGATTAACAGATATGATAGAATGTGAAATGAACCTGTCTAAATCAGCAAACCATAAGGTTGAAATTAGATGTTTGGACTAGGTAATTAAAGCTTAATTCACATTAGTAGCAGAATTAAGCATACGAATAGTGCAATTTAATTCAATATAATTTATTAATTTAACCTTAAGTTTATGATTAAGCTTAATTAGAGCTTAAGGGGAATAGAGATTAATTACACTCCCTAAGATACTCATCAACTTAAAGAGAGAGAGAGAGAGAGTTTTGGTGCATTGTGTAAAGAATTCTAGAGCTTCAAAAGGGGAATGGGGGAGGAGCTTAGGGAAAATATTGGAGATAGGCTTGATCTTCACAAATCAACAACTTAAGGTAAGCTCTTCACTCAAATTTCTTGAAATTGAAACTTCCACACTTATCATCTTCTAGGATGTAAGTTTAATTAGGATGAATTCATGGTTGTTTTAGAATTGTGAACCCTTATGAGCATTAAAGCGAGAAATTATGAGAATTAGCTCAAGAATATGGCTTGCATGGCATACTTTCATGAGATTCATGTTTTCTTGTATGATTTATGAGAATGGAGGAAAAAACCCTATGGATTTTGAGTTGGAACTCAAGATACGCTTGTATTTTGACTTTACACTTTAAATTCAAGGCTTTGATATTGTAAATGGAAATTTGAGTTTAGTATTTATGTGATGATTTGAGTTTGAAGTTAGGAATGTTTAATTCAACATGTTTTTGAAGAGTTTTGGGCCTTGCTTGGCATAAAAATGAGATTGGAGGTTGTAAAACTTAACTTAAAAAATGAAGCAAAATTTCGGACTGAAACTCAACCTAGCACATGCGGTGGGAGGTCCTACACGTGCGGCCAAACCCTCCTCTATTTTGGTTGGCTTCTGCTTTAATTGCACGTGTGAGGCACACGTGCGGTGGAGGTTCTACACGTGCAGCTAGTGCCACCAGTACGTGTTGTTTTTAGAGCAATTTTTCGACTTTGTTTTCTCTTCGTTTTTCGAACTTCCGGACCTCCGTTTGCATGGTTTTCATGTGCATTTCACATGCATATGCATTTCATGAATACAAAGGGAATTAGAGAATGAATCGAATTAATAGAATGGATAAGTAGTGAATGAACCGAATAGGGTTAAAGAATGACTGATTGAATTGTCTATGTAATAAGAGGATGTGCTTGAATGTGTTTCTATAGGTCAGACGCCGCACCCTAGCCAAGGGATTCAAGGAGTCAACTGTGAGTAACAACATTGTAAAGATATGTTCTAATTTATCAGTATTTTCTAACTTATATAATGTTCTATTTCTGAAATGATATTTTCTGACTGATTGAATGATTGTCCTGTTTTCTGAACTGTATTCGTGGCATCCTTAGCATCTGTTACTGCTATTGTGTACTATTACTGTTACAGAGATCTTTGTCAGTTCAAATTCTTAGAACTTTTGTTTACTGTATTGGTAGCCACCATCAATTCTGACTATTCGGTCTTTGTGATCGAAATAAATGCCATAAATCCATCCAAGGCCATATGTAAATAATAATATGAATCGGAGTATAATATTTTTTCGTTTCATAAGAGTTAACAGTACAAAAGAGTTTAACTAAATAAATGCCTTATAGGCTTACATCTTTCCAAGACCATGCTTGGTTACAATAAAAGCGGATATAAACCCAATACATGTAAAGCCCTTGGCTTGAATCAAAACAATAACACAATACATAAAAGAGAAGCCTTCAGCTTTGGTTCCTCCCAAGCTATTGTCTTGGCAGAGCCATATCACTAACACCTGAAAATAGTTTTTCCCAAATAGCGTGCTAAAGCCTAGTAAAAACAATCTAACACAATGTATGAATCTTAACAAAAATATAAGTATGATATGCATATTCAATGCCCATGATAAAATCATTTATAACTTTTTTAACAAAACCATGCCATGCCAAGCTCTATATCTCAATTCACGAGTCATCCACTATTTTATATAAACAACCAAACTTAGGGTACAACTCAATGGATCACTAACCAACACAACCATTATACAAATACTTCTATTTTGCTATTTTACGGATATTTCGTCTGTGGGAATTGGCCCCATATATAAGCGCAATTTTCGAGACTTTCATCATGGACACACAAACCAACTTAATTCAATGGAGTCCATCTCCTTTCTTCTCCCAAACATAGAGTACATCCAATTTCTCCTCCGAAACATCATACATTTACAATGTATCAAAGACATAGTCATGTTCAATGACAACAGATAAGAGATTAGTTTCATTTCACCTAATCCTCATGCAATTTCTACAACAATTATGGTTATCCTCCACCGATAGCTCAAACATATATTTCTAAACAGGTATACAATCTCCAAAACAGATAAATTATCCAAATTTCCATAGGTGAGAGGTAACACATATCCAACTCCACCATTTATATAAACATTCATCCAATTTCATATATACCAATTTCATTTATTTATACAAAATAACTATTTAAGACATTTTAGGGCAAAACTCCATTTTCTTCCAAAACCCATCACGGGTATCAAAATCAGCAAATTGATCATAACACAACCTCACATCTACTCCCATAACCATTTTTAACACATACATTTGAAAACCCCTCTTTGGATTTTAAACCAAAACCCTAGGTTTGTTCAAAATCATTCCAAATCCCAATATTCTTTACACATCAATAAATAACTAAGTTAAAACTCATAGAAAAGTGTAGAGAGTCCTTACTTTGAAGCTAGAGATTAAGGAAGCAATGGATGAACTTTAACGACACCGAAACCCAGCTTTATTCAGATCAAAACGTAGCTCTTGAGGTACTTTACCTTTTTAACAAAGGCACATGGTTAGAGAAACCACCAAATCCAGGTGAAAATAGAGAGAAAGAGAGAGAGAGAGAGAGAGATAGTGAGTTTTAGAGAGAGAGGCTCTAGATCTAGCATTTTGAGAGAAAAAAGATGTGAAAAAGTCATGTAAAAAGGTGTTGTTGCGAACTGATATACGCATAGTCCGCTTGAGCACAAGAAGTGATGCTTAAGCGTCAGGCACAATAAGTTGTTCCGCTCGAACGCAGAATGCACACTCCCAGTAGTTTTGTAGACAACAGACCAATGCTCAAGCACAAGAAAGTCCACTCAAGCTGAGACTACTCGAGTGCAGAAAGTACTGCTCAAGCATAGAATACACTCTTCTAGTAGTTTTGCAGACCTGCAAAAGTATTGAGAGTTCACAAAGCCCGCTCAAGCAGCCTTGCGTTCTAGCGGAGAAGCAAAACTCTGGGCAACAAAAATTTGAAAACCAAACAACCAACCTATTCCAAACGCAACCATTACAATCCAATAGCCAAACACAAAGAAGTATGAGAGGAAAAGACATGAACAACACTACGAAACCACGAAGCCCGAGTCCAATATACAAAAGAGTCGAGTTAAAACCAGAATCGCTATAGTGAC